CAATTGGATTGTTCACTAAAATATCCTGCCCATCGATCTTGTCGTTCTTGTTTATTGTGAATATTCTGTCCACTTTTATTGCAAATGGTCTCACTGACCGGTACGCGACGAACTCCGATACAGCGTAGCAGGTGAAACAGTCGTTGACCATTACCTGATGCAGAAGCTCTCTATTTCACTCGCTATTTTAGCCCACCAGTTTTCGCGATCTTTCTTAGGGCTTTTCCTGAGTTAACGTTTGCAGGCGCCGCCGGTCCCTATGATGATCCTGGTAGATTAGGATCTTTCGCTTTCGATCCATCAAAATGTCTTCGGGCTCGATCCCAAAAGCAAAGTTTGCTGAGTGCATTGCCAATCTAATTTGATCCCACTGTTGGTCTACTCCACTATGTCGTGGTTCTCCTAGCTCCTGTTCCAGCTTCTCTTCATAACATGCGCAAACAGATGGATCGCGCAGACGATAATGAGCTAACTGAGCAGGCTATTTCTACCGATGACCGATGAGTGAAGAGTAACTGAACGAGTGCATGATCCGACTCAATGCAGGTGGTCTAATAGGATCTGCGATTTTGTACTGAACCACACCAACGGTAGCTTACAGCTATGTGATCAATTTGAGTCAACTTTCCCGTTGAACTACAACATCATGTAGCCGTTTGACGAGAGCTGTGTCGAAAGTTGGTGTTACATAAGAACAACCGATGATCCGCACAGAACTGAAGCAGCCGATCACTGTTGTCTGTTCGTTGGGCGGGAAGAGTGAAATGCCCTCCTAGACAGGTTTCGGATGAGCTCAGTTTTCCAACCCGCACGTTAAAATCACCTGCCAGCACTATGATATCAGAACTGCGGCTAAACGGAATGAGTTCGATGAGTTTGCCGTAAAATTCGTCCTTTTATGAAGTAGGACTACAGTTGGTTGGTACATATGCGGAAACGATGAACAAACACCTTTCGGTGTTGCTGCCCTTCCGAACACTAACTGAAACCTGGAGTCTCATTGGGCACAAACGACTATCGATGGGTGTCCAATCTACCAGTGAGGCTTCTACTTTAGCGTTTAGTACGACACTGACACCACGCTGACCCAGTGAGCGGGCTTCATCGTCTGCTGATTTACGAAGGAAATACCTCGAGGACAGACCCGGAGCACTGAGGTGGCTTATGATACTAGGTTCCTGAGTTGGTGTCTCCCATATGCAACAGATATCGATCTCTAAAGACTTCATTGTACACGGAAGGCACGCTTGTTGACCCACCTGCAGTGGTTTAGTCGCTATCACCGGTGTGCTTTGGACCCTGTGGTTCGAGCCCCGCTACCACCACCCAACTTTGGTGGTAGGCAGCTTTGCTGTTGCCCGGTTCTATACCACGCCTGACCTATCGGCACCTTAAGTGGTTCGCCACTCCAAGTCCCGGAACTTAGGTTGCCGGTTACCATCTCTGGACAACAAGACTTCATGAATATGGGGTTTATTCCGTCTGCTGTTCACCACAAACTGGTGTGTAATAAAAAAGGAGTTCTAACGTTGAAAGCACCCAGATTCAGATGCTGACAAGGCTTCAAAATCTACATTTTGGGTGACCGGTCTTCTCTCACATCACGAATGTGCAACATAAGTCACAGAAATCACAGAATGCGACTCTACCTACGAACTTACAACATTCCATAGCCCTCACTAACACTCGTAGTTTAAATCTAAATGTTAATTCTGTACACCACTTTCTCCAACCTTCTTCCCCATTGGCTTTATTTTTGACTGAAACACAAATCTCTTCCTCGTCGGACTACTTATTTTCAGTGCCCTAATTACTTCCACCGTTCTTCCTTCTAAAGCTGGTGTCATCCTGTCGCTTCTTCCAGACTTTCGCACCTAGACGTATCCAACCGTGAATTTGAGCTCATGTGGCTGAAACTTCGTTTCCCTTATTTCAACCACTATTTTTGTAATGTTTAATGCTCTCCCAACAGCAGCGATTATTCTATTTTTAATATTTTATCTNCCAACATTGAGACACTAATGACAGCGGATCCTAACAGCCAAATTACCATTACAGATTTCAATAACCACAACAAGGAATGGCTGAAGCACTCCTTTGTCACTACATTTATAGGACGTGAAGCCGAGGCTTTTACTGTGATCAACAGCCTAAGTCAACTAGTTGACGTCCCCACACGCATCCCTGATCGTATTGGTGACCGCGTCCACACTCCTGACTTCATTCTCACATCCATTCCCTTTCCTTTCTCCAACATC